ATCATTATATTCATTTGGTTGCATAGTTATATTATGTAGCATTATGTATATTAGCAATTATCCACTTCATCTAACTTTATAATTATATATGTTAGTAAATATGATTTTAATCCGAATTCAAATCCGATTCAATCCGAATCCGAACTAAATAGGATATGGATTGGTACATTCAGTCCGAAAACCCGTTAGTGATCTGAATCCAATAATCTGTTTGCTTAACAAATCGGATATGGATTTGATCGATCCGATCCAAATTTGATCCATTGACAGGCCTAATAGAATCTTGAAGATGGTAACTCTTTGTAAACAAGTTGTAAAATTCTTGTCTAATAAAGAATTAGGTTTTGAAAACTCTATAAATATAAATGGGTTTAGGTAGATAGAGAGGAAAGATATAAGGGGTTTAAGGGTATGTGGTGTGAGGAGAGGTGAGAATATATGTAATTCTCTAGTGTATAGATGTAGCCTCAAAAATGATGATAAGTGAGTAAATGGAGTTTTAACATCTGGTGGTTTATTATTTTCCTTGATTTATAAAAGTGGAAGCTAGTCTCTCTCTTTATGGATGTAGCCCTAGAGTTAGGTGAACCATATACAGTAAGATATTGTGTTGTGCGTGGATGTGTGTGATTGTGAAAACTATAAATGTTTATGTGATGATAATGCTTCCGCTGTGTATGATAAATGAGAGATTTAACTCTTAACAATAACTGACCGTTGAGTGGCTTTGAGGAAGTTAATAACCTTCATAATTGGTATCAGAGCGCGCGCATGGCTGGTCTTGAAGATTAGAACTAAAGATTGTGTGAAATTTGTCAGAATAGAAGATTGATCGTGAGTTATCTTGGAGATTCAATTAAAGCTGATGATGCCATAAAAAAAATGGTGTGGCGACACATGCCCATGAGGAACAAGTTTTGGGGATAAGCCAAAAAGTGGGTGTTAGTTCTCAAGATGGGGCGAGTATGGTGTCAAAAGCATAACGAGTAGGTTTTGTTGCTTTGAGCCAAAAAAGTGGTAAGTATAAGTAGTTTTGGTGGGTTGCCATGCGTGAGCAATTATGCACCAACAGGAAGAAAGGGAGAAAAATAGAGTTGAAGGAACCAAGGAAAAAGAGTTTTGGTTCGAGGTGAAAAGATCTCCAGTCAAGGTGGAGTTATTGAAGAGTGCGAGAAGACATATTTCATGCAAATGTGGAGATTGTTGGGTTTGTAGCTCGAAATTCATGTGCAAAAATTAGTTTCCTTTTTTCATTTGAGATGCTTCTATTTTAGAATTGTAATGAATATGGTAACTTCTTAAAGACAAGTTATGGAATTCTTGTCGAATAAGGAATTGGGTTTTTGAAGACTCTATAAATAGATATAGGTTTGGGTAGAGAAAGAGAAAAGAGGAAAAATGTACGGGGTTTAATGGTGAGTGTCGACGTAAAGAGATGGGAGAGTTTATGTAATTCCCGAGTATATAGATACAGCATCAAAAGAGATGATGAGTGAGTGAGTGGGATTTTGGTATCTGATTGTATATTCTCTTTCCTAATTCATAATAATGGAAATTTCTCTCTCCATGGATGTAACCCTAGAGTTGGGTAAATCTTGTAAAATATTGTATTGTACATGGATGTGTATGTTTGTTATCTCTATATATATTTATGTGATAGTGATGCTTCCGTTGTATGTGATGAAAGAAAGATTTAACTTTCAACATCAGTCTACCATTTAGTGGTTTAGAGGGAGTTAATATCCTAAACATATCAAACATATAATCTCTCTTTCCTCTTAAAGCCATTGAATCTATGTAATGATCGACACGGCCTCTACTTCATCAGTTTATCTTACTATATAAACCAACATTAAATTCTATTTGACGATGAAACTATTGGGTTGTGATTCAAATTCTTGTTAAGAATATATTCTGAAAAAGTGCAACTAGTTGTACTTTAGTGGAACCGGTTACAGTTAGGTAATAACTAGTGCAGAGAAAATACAACTGGTTATAAGGAAACTGAATGCACTTGCTAATGAGTAAGGGAGACAATTTCCTTTTCTATTTTGTATAGTTGAAGACTTGTGGAGCAAGATGAATATTTGAAGAGTAAGTTGTAACTCGTTAGGCATCTATTTTAGACTTGTGATTGATATGGGTTAACCTTGGTAAGCAAGTTATAAAATTATTTTCCAACAAAAAATTGGGTATGAAGACTCTATAAATAGAGATAAGTTTAGGTAGAACGAGATAGAGAGAGTGAAGATGTAGGGTTTAAAAGGGTGACTGTTGTGAGGAGATCAGAGAATATATGTAATTCTTAGGGGATGTAGCCTCGAAAAGGTGATGAGTTAATTAGTGAATAAGTCAGTGTGGGGGGTTTTGACATTTGTGGTAGTATATTCTTTTCCTTGATACACAATAGTAAAATCTCTCTCTCCATGGACATAACCCTAGAGTTGGGTGAACCATGTAAAATATAGTGGTGTGTTGTAGATGTGTATGATTGTTAGCTCTGTATATGAGTGTGATTTATGATTTGCTTCCTTGGAGATCAATCATCTTGCTTATGTAGATAAATACTTTGATGGTTTGCTTGAATGACATTATTTGAGGATTTTCTTTTTAATGTAGTTTTGAAGATTTGATAGGTATAATGTTGTAGTTATATCATTTGCGAACATTTCAGAGTTTGTTGTTGTTGTTTCTTAAGGTTTTTAGTCATGGTTTTAGGGTTTGGAAAAACAAGAATTGTGTAGTATGTGGAAATTGGGGACTGGCCAAGTTGGAGGGGTCAAACTTATTTCCAAGCGATCGGACTTTGGCAGAAGGTGGAGTTGAGGCTGATTTGTGTTCTGTTTTTCTTGGTGGTGATCAGAGTGGCGCATCGGATGTATATTTGATTGTGTTGGTATTTACATTTGTTCGATGATATTTTTATAGACTTGGTAGTCATTAACGGACAATGGACTTGAAATTGAACTTAGTTTTGGTAATTTGATTCGGATAGTTTCTAAAGCATGGGTTGAAAAGGCGAGTCTTGTAAGGGGAGAGTGTACGTAATTTTCGAGTGAAGAGATGTAACCTCAAAAAGATGACGAGTGACTAAGTGAGTGAGTTTGGGAATCTATGGTTGTATATTCTCTTTCTTGATTCATAATATTGAAAGTTCTCTCTCTCTCCATAGGCGTATCCCTAAAGGTTGGGTGAATCACGTAAAATATTGTGTTATGCGTTAATTGATATATGATTGTATCTCCATATATGCTTGTGTGATTGATGATGTTATCCTAACACTTCAGTGATATCTGAAAGAGGGATTGGAATTTAACATGGGAATTGATAATGGAAGAGATGGTTTTCATAGCTAGTACAAACAGGAGTGATATTGGATCACCTTATCTGTGATCTTTTACCCCCCTAAAGTAGCCTTATAGCTCCCTGTATGTTAAAATAGAGTAGTTTGGAGATGCATTTGTAGATAGCATTACAACAGGAAATGGGTCTATAATCATTGACTGAGTTGGAGTTAGGGCACTTAGGGAATTGTTTCAGTAGCTTGCCATTGATGATGAACTCTCTTGTGACTTTGGTGAGAGTCCTACTAACTATAGGCCATGATTTGTGAAAGAAACAATTGTGTCCTTGTTTATTGACAAAAGAGGGAATGGCACAAAGAGAAGCAATGAAGTTAGAAGGGACCTGCTTAGTAACAAATGGTTGTTTGTGTCTGCCCTACTTCCTAGTAAGTTCAAATGAGATAGAATTTCGGTTTTGACAGCATTTGCCCCTTGAATGTGTCCTCCTCCATTTGGTGACTTGCTGAGAGCAATTTTTTTTCTTTATTGACTCTGGTGGAGGAGATTTGTGGGAATATATATATATATATATATATATTATAAAGAACCAAACTTACCATGTAAGGAAATATACATATATATATATATATATATATATATGGTGGAGGAGATTTGTGGGAATATATATATATATATATATATATATATTATAAAGAACCAAACTTACCATGTAAGGAAATATACATATATATATATATACATATATATATGTATATATATATATATATATTTCCTTACATGGTAAGTTTGGTTCTTTATAATTTTGTTAATTGCGGTCACTCAAAGCTTTCTCTCCCGTGTATTGCGCGTATTTTTATACTATATTAGGTCTCTGTAAAGTAGGTGCAATTGTAATTTTTAATATATGAAAAAAAGGACCAAATCAAACATATGCGCAAGTGGACCAATCAAATATAGGTACCAAAAAACGAAATGTTGTTTTCTACTCTTTGGGAAATTACTGTACATGACTAGACGAAGTCACGAAACAGTGATTAGTCAAGGAAAATTAGGAAAACATTGTCCTAATTATTTAAAATCTGTTGTTGTTTGATGAGATTTAGAACTTGTTTGGTATTACAGTACTGTAATAGAGTTGTTAAATAATTTTTACTAATAAAAACATGTGTTTGAGGATAGTACTTTTCATAATTAAAGCTTTTCAATAGAGTTATTAAATAATTATTACTATTAAAAACATGTGTTTGATAATAGTACTTTTCATAATTAAAGTTTTTTCAATAGAATTATGAATTAAATATTGGCACCACCTAATAATTTAAATTTTTGAATTAAATTGCAAAAACACCCGACAATTATTTTCTGTATTAGAGAGAGATTCGATACTTAATCCAGTACTATGTCAAGCGCCTGACAAGATCTGCCTTAGGCCTAGATGACCCAGACGGTCGCCTAGGGCATCCAATTTGGGCCCAAAAAAAAACCCCTAGGCCTATGGTCTCTCAAAATTTTGGGCCGGCGTGGTGACCTGACTGCGAGGGTGTGAGGGAATCAGGATGGTGTACATAGCTGCTGCTTCAGCCTATAAAGCCAAATTTGCACCAGAATCTACCATACGTTAGAAGTATGAAGCACTGCAAAATCCTCTAAAACTGTTGTGAGATATAAGAATTTTGATGAATTCCACAAGGCACATTTTGGTACTAATAAATAAATAACTTGCATTATTCCATAAGATTTGCCTCTATATATAGCGTTCATAGCACTAAAATCACTCAGAAGCTCTTCAAAACAGAGTCAAACTCTGGGAACCTTTCACAGCATAACAACCCAAATCACAACTTATTTAAAGCACAAAATCCAAACACTAACAGTACCCTGAAGGAGAAAGTACAAGATGGGACCAGTACATGCATGAGAAATTTCAGGCAGAGAGACACATTAAGCCGATAACTTGCTATCTTTTGGCAGTGGTGTATCCGCGAATCTCCACGAGACTTTCATAAGATTTTCAGTTATGCTAGCCCCGGCGACCTCATCTACAGGAACAGCATCAGATATCTCCTTTATATCTTCTTTAGTAAGCTTCACTCTCACGGATCCAACATTATCATCAAGATTTTTTTTCTTCGTTGTTCCTGCATATATACAGGGAGAGGACAAAAATGCCATCATTTTAAAATGATATCACAAATTTTTAGATGCAAAATTTCCAGCGCTGAAGAAAACATTCGATGTCTCTTCTTGTAAGTAATTTTAATGATCAGTTGAATATTACATGAAAATACAAATATTTTAATAATCCTTCTGCTGTCTAATGGAAGAATGGGAAATTAATGAACATCTTCCTGCTAGTATCTGATGCACTCAATGAGTGAATCCTAAATTACGGACACCTTAGGGAATGGTCTGGTTCACAGATTGTGGTCCTAAAAAATAAATATGAACCGAACATGCCCCTATTGTATTTATATATTATTCTATTGGTCACTCTTATGTTTTATTATATACCTCGCCACAAACTAGCAATTCACCTGTATATATATACACACTACCTTATAACCCTTGCCCTACCATAAACAACAAATCCATCTGCCAACCACACCAGAACAACATACACCATCATCATCTCATGCTCTCCGGCTGACCAAACCAGTACAACACTGCTGCACATTAGTACAACATTGTCATCCCCAGCCATCCCCAGCCATCGCAGACCATCGTCACAGCTCCCTTTGGCAATTCCAATATAAAAAACTATGGTGTTTTTCTTCTCTGTGGGGGTGCGTGTATAAGAAAAAGGGAGTGAAGAGAATCCTCAATTCTCTTGGCTAAAAGATAATATCTTTGACGGATTTTTCTATTTTGGGGCTTTATTTTGGGGTTTTGGAATAAATAAATAAACATAAATAAAATAAAATAAAAAACCATTTGGCTGAACAGTTGTTTTGGAATGGTGCTTATTGGTTTGCAGGTCATGATTTCCTTCACGGTACTTAAAGCTCACAAACTCCCAGCATCATTTGCTCCTGGCGTTTTACTTCCACAATAGTTACTTGTGAAGTCTCTGCCGTTATACTTCCTCCAAACCACTAAGTCTCTGCCGTTATACTTCCTCCAAACCACTAAACCAAACTTATTAAAATCGTTCTTTTATGGTTCGGATTGGTTCGGTTTAGATGGCGTGCTCAGTCCAATTCGATTTCAATTCTTTTGGAACTGTTGAGACCAGATTGGTTCTAATTTATTCCAAAACCGGTCCAATCCATATTGTGTGCAACCCTCTCCTTAATGGCTGGTTGGACATTCCGTGGAAAGAGAAATATCTTCTTTCTATGCAGATTATGCTTGGGGAAATGGGAGGAAAAGGAAAATCTTGAAGAAATAATTAAGTTAACAATCAATTTCTTCAAATTTCTCTCTTTTATAGGGTAAGCAAAAATGATGGCTAAAGAAATTGAAATGGGTCAGTTTACACAACTTTTAGATGAGGATATATACCCATATATGAACTGCATCAATTTAAACCTAACGATGGTCAACCACAAACCACTGTTCCAAGATGTACAAAAGGTGAACGCAACTTCAGTTTAGGGAAATCAGACTGGATATATATAACTTAAGTCTATGCATGTGCCTTCTTCAACTTCTAAATTCCATAGTAGAAACTAGAAAATACAAAAATGAACTTCTAAAGCACCTGAAAACTGATTATATGATTGAATTAAACTGAGGGAAATCACTTTTATGTTCTGTTTGGTACAAAGGATGGAAAAGGGAGGGAGGTAGGACAGGAGAAAGTTTGTTCCTCTTTATGTATGGTTGAGTAGGAATAAAAACAGAAAGGAAAGAGAGACCTGATTTTACCATTATACCTTGTCAAAGAAATGATGTTCTTCAAAGGATTAAAATGTTTAAAAAAATTAAAAGAACCGAGAAAAGGAGGGACCCCTTTACATCCTTTCTTCCATCGCCCGTCCGTCCCCCACCCTTTCCCTCCTCCAAAAATATGAAATACCAATCTATCCTCTCTCTTTTCCTACGTCACCTTCCCTTTCTCCCTCTCTTCCCTATTTCCCAAAGGCATCAACAATAGTTTATTAGGAGATTAAGACACTCTTTGGAACTATAACTGGTATGGCTACCCCTGATCAAAACAAAAGCACAAAAATGATGACACGGACGCTACTCAAGGAATGTTGTGTATGGTAAATGTGTATAGCCCCTATAATCATGTCAGACTACCATGAGGGAATTTTAAGTATCGGAGGAGGATATTACTCTTCTATTCCTTAAAATGCTCAAGAAAATTGAATATGCTAAGTCTGCACTTGAAGCGTACATAAGTACCATAAAGTTTGAGTGATACTATAGTTGCTGGTTTGACGCAACCAGCAATAAAAGATTAACCATACATGTCAACAGTAACATTGACTCTAATTATGTTAAAATGTATGGTGCAAGATTCACTACCTTTTAATACATTGAAGTATGAAATTAGTTGGAAATCGATAGCATGTTCCCTTTGCTTCATCTATATTACGAAAGCAGCAGCTACCAGGAATACTCTATCCTGTAGTGCATCCTGCTTCTTGTGCTTCTTGAATTTATTGGGAAACCACTTTTTAAAATTTTAAGGGATGTAAATTCCAATTTTCAATGCTTCATTACAAGGAAGTGATATTTTAAGGTTTATTGGTTTACTCTAATTATTTATAACCATATCATTTTAATATATAGTTTTTCACTTCTGTTTCATAAACAACAAAGCAAAAAATTGGAGTCATGATTGATTTACAATTAAATGAAGCAAGATTTGATGATAGCCACTCACCGGGAATTGGTACTATATCATCCCCCTGATGAAGAACCCATGCAAGTGCGAGTTGAGCTGGGGTGCATTTATGCTTTTTAGCCAATGCTTCAATTCGAGTATATATTATCTTGTTCTTCTCAAAGTTCTCTCCAGTAAATCTAGGATGTACTTCCTGATAGATGAATTGAAATTTGATTGCTAAGTTTGTTCAAATAAGCAAAAGCAATATATATATATATATATATATATATATAACAAACAAATTTAGGTGTACTTCCTGTAAACAAAGATGCATTCTATCATAAAATCAATGAAATTAGGGAGACTAAACATAGCAACGGCCAGACATAAACCTAGTAACATACCAACAAACTCTTTGAAGGCACACTTTCCACAACTCCCTTGCCAGCAAAAAAGCCACGACCAATAGGGCAGTATGGAACTATCCCGATTCCAAGCTCCCTAATTATCAAAACACAGTTTAGGAACATCAAAGATAGAAAGGAAGAAAACGAGTTTAAAACAAAAAAACCAAATTCGTATTACACTGGAGTAAAAAAAAAAATAAAAAAAAATAAGAAACTGCTAGAAGCTTGAAGTGCAAACTCCAAGGAAGGAGAAATACCATATTCAAAACACAGTAAATTGAATTTTAAGTACCACCAATGGTCTAGCAGGTCCAAATGAAAAATCAGCCATGAAGGGCAATATATGTAATTAGTCATGAGTTGGGGTTTTCATGTAAATATGTAATACTGTAAATATATATACACATTATTGTTTAGGGCTCTCTCTCTCTCTCTCTCTCTCTATATATATATATATAAGTCAATATGGTATTAGAGCCAGCATTAAAACCCCACCTTTTACTAAAATAAGGAGTAACGCTTTCTTAAGAAAAAGAATAAAATAAAAGAGTAACATGCAAACACTCCATTTTATTATTTATTTCGAATCAGTAAAAGAAGTCTCAAAATTTTTACTAGAAAAAGTAAATGAACATAATATAGATTTTTTTTTTTTTTTTTTGGCAAGAATTTTAGATACAATGTGAAGGAACCTGCAAACTGGGATTATTTCTTGCTCAATGTCACGAGACCAAAGGGAATACTCCATTTGTAAAGCGGTGATAGGATGAACTGCATGTGCCCTCCTTATTGTGTTTGGGCTAGCTTCAGACAGCCCAATGTACTTTATCTTACCCTCTTCCACTAATTTCTTAAGCTCCCCCATCTGCTTATGAAGAAAAACAAACCACAACTTTACAATTATTAAGAAATCGATAGCAACTATGGTACTCTATTTAAAAAGAGAACAATTTAGTGTGTAATGACGAAAATGGAAGAAAGAATGTTAGCACTTACAGTTTCCTCAATAGGTACTTTTGTGTCTATCCGATGTACATAGTAGAGATCAATGTAATCAATACCAAGACGCTTCAAGCTACCCTCACAGCAGGAGCGAACATATTCAGGAGTACCATTTATTATAACTTGAGTAGGTTCAACTTTAAAGACACCAAATTTTGTGGCCAACTGGACCTTTTCTCGAGGCAATTGTTTTAGTGCCTGCAAGATTCAAGCTATAGTAAATAAAAGACCACTACTAATCACCAATACAATAATAATAATAATAACTCTTAGTGGAAAATATTCAACAAAATAGATCCTTTAGAAGATCATAGTAAAATGACAAAAAATGGGGATGAATTTTACACTTTTAAAGACGATACAAAATTTGAAGTTGTCAAGTTATGGTTCATGTGAAAGCCAAAAATTCAGTCTAAGTTACATTCTTAAAAGCCACGTTTTCTCTTTCATCTTTCTCAATTTAAATTGTTTCATCCCAACGTTAGTTTATGCTCCAACAAAGCATGGAACTGTGATTATTCTCAAGTTCCATAGTCACTGTCCAGTGCTCAACTGAAATTTTTACGGAACATATCAAAAATTAGCTTTTAGTAAGCAAAACCACAAGATATCTTTATGAATTTTTCCTAGCTTGATGATGCACCAATTAAAACATTGACAATTGACAACCATAAAAGAAATACCGAGTGTTAGACTATATCAGTTAGTTTTGGGTTTGGCAACCTGAAAAAGAAAAAAATCACAATCATACCACATAGTTTTAGCACCAATACTAGTGATATCATGACCTGAAACCAACATATGTACGACATTTAAAGCATGGATGAATGAATAATAATTGTAAGTCCTTGAAAAAAATAATATGTATAAAATGTAATGCATAGGTGAATGAAAGTCCTTTCAAAGAACAAACAATTTTTCCTGTTAAGATATAAGGGAGGAGAGGAATACCGAAATTAGATATGGGGTGTAGACCTTAAGTCAAAATAATTTTAGTACCAAGAAATTGATTTTCTTGCTAAACATATTTATAATCCTCCATCATGAAAAAAAAAATAAATAAAAGAAAAAGATAGGTGAATGAATATTCATTGGAAGTCCTTGAAAAGAACAAGATTTTTTTCGTAAATGAATATTCATTGGAAAGATTTTTCGTGCAAGACATAAACTTTTTTTTAAGAAAAAAAAATACTGAAATTAAAAATGGGGTGTAGTCCTTAAAAGTCAAAATAACTTTAGCACTAATTACTACAGATGAGCGTGCGCGCCCGCGCACACACACATATATTCGTTATTGTCAAGCTCCAAATATCAATACTAGCTTTATGTCTTCCCATATATTTAAAAGAGCCAAGTTCAAAAGAAAAAAGCAAATGAAAAATGCCCTCAATATGAAGTTTTCAGGTGTAATATGGAACTTCATTTTTTTCCCTGGCCTTACATTGAACAGATGACACAATTTAACCGACAGCCCGATTAAATAATCTAATAAGCACTCATAGATGAAGTATACAATCAGTGGCTTTCATATCTTATTATTTTCTTCTTCTTTTTAGACACCAGATCTTCCTAATCCAAATGCCCCAAATCTGTTTGGAATTGATGGACATGCTTCTTGTTCAACAAGGACCAGAATGCTAGTGCTTTCCACAAATAAGGAACAGTTGGAGAAAAAAAAATTTGATACAATTACCTTTCCCACCAATATTTCATTGGCGTGGTCGATACCATAAATATCTGATGTATCAAAGAACGTGATTCCTGCATTGAAGACATCCTTGATCATTGAAATGCCATCCTCTTCCGGGACAGGAGCATTGTAGATCCCAGTAAGCCCCATACACCCATACCCTAATTTTGATACCTGTGAGGAAAAAAAAAAAAAAAAAAAGAGGCTCCACAATTTAGAAATGAATAAGATACAAGAACATATCTCACTGGAAGCAAGTTTTATCAAAACACACATTTCCACCACCTTCTATGTGTAGAAACAAAAGCATAGAGACAATAGAATGGTACACATTTTTTAGGCTTCTCAGATCTTCTACTCGTTGTGTGTAACATTTTTGTTCAATAATTCCATTTTTGTAGTGATCCAGATGATACAAGGGGAGCTTACTAGGTCATTTAAACCTACAACTTCCAGAAAAGACTAGGCATATTCTAAGATTGTAATATTTTGAAGATATTATGCTTCCGAAAATGAATGTAAATAGCATATGAATTTGAAATTTTCAAATTAAAACCATATAAGAACCTCACAAGATTTACTATTTATAAAGATTTCAGTAACATCCAGATCACCATTTCCCCATCATATCAATATTTCAGCAACACCCAGATCATCATTCACAATTTGTTCAATTAGGGAACACACAATCACACATACAGAAAGGAAAGTTAACTAGAAAAACTTTTTTTTTTAAGAAGCATACTATTAATCATTTGACAGCAGTGACACCAAAAACACACAAATTAAAAATAAAAATAAATATATAAATCACACTATGGTTTTGAACCCTGTTTAGAATGAAGCATGAACTAAAAATACAGTGATCTTCTTGATTCAAATAGCGAGGCTGGTATTCAAATGATTGAAATGGGAAATGAAGAGAATCCCAGATTTTCCATTTTCATTCTTGAATACTATAGAGAGAGATCACAATCAAGAAATTCAAATTCAATCAATCACAAAACGTTAAATAAATATATATATATATATATATATATATATATATATATTTATTTATTTATTTATTTCTCTGATCGGAAAAGGGTTTTACCTCCAGTCCCTGGCATCCCAGCTTCACTCTTGGCATCACAACTTTTGCTCCGGCCATTGTTAACTCTCTTGCCTTCTCCTTCTCCTTCAGAAAAGATGTATTGAGCTTTGAACCCAGTGTCAGGATATATACACACACACTGACAGTCTGGCAAACATGGGCCCAGAGTGAGAGGAAAGCGAGCCTTCCGGATGATTCTCGCTAGCTGACGTCACCGATGACCTACTGCCCCCCCTGTGAATGAAGGCTTGAAACAATGGAAAATTGCAGTTTTGCCAAATTGTGGAGCTAAGTATATTACCAAAATGCCCATGGGGATTTACGCAGTTATTCTCTGCGTACATAATTTTCAAAATGCCCGTGGACAGCTCAAATGACGAATGTCACAGCCTAAATACTGAATTTATTTAAATTACTCCATGCCTTAAATATAAGGACCAATGGTAAAAAATTCCCCACGACTATTGTTCAGTTGCAAAAAAATTTCTTTATGAATATTTTTAGCAAAAAATTCCCCTAGACTATCCCAAGGAAGTGTTTTTAACTAATGTCCATTTAAGTAATTTTTTGAAATAATTTTTGGGACAAAATTATCTCTTAACAGATTTTTTTCAAACAATTTATTATTATCATATTCAAACAAGCTTATCAATTCAAATCTTTATCTGCATTTATGGATCCAATAAAAATAAATGGATGTTACAAAAAGTGTTATATATATCGCATCTTCCAATTTCAATATATCTTCCAATTTCAATATTCAAATGATCACGTATATTCAAATGAAGTGCAGGCCTCTCTTTTGGTGATTGTAATTGTTATGGATTTTATGTTGATGCTTAAATTTTGGTGATTATTTATGTCAATATATATGCAGTGAGGATATTAGTAACTTTCTTCTGGGTTTGAGTATTACTTTTGCTATATAGCTTATCAATTCAAATCTCGATTTTTGATGGTTGCTTAAAATTGTTTTGCCTCTTTTTGATTTGTTGTTATAGCTAGAGAAAGTACAAATAAATAAAGAAAAGGAAAATCAAATTTAGAATAAAATAAATTTAAAACCTCAAAGTGAAAGATGATTTAGAAAATGACATAAAAATTAAATATTTTCTTATATCTTATTTATTTTTAAACATTTTTTGGAGAATAATTTGTTAATGGCTAATTTTGTCAAAAAAATTGTTTCAGAAAGTTACTTAAATGGACACCAAGTAAAAATACTCCCTTTGGATAACCAACGAACCTGTGGCTTAGTGGTAGAGAGATTAGGGGTTCAAGTCTCACAACTCACAAGAGACAACTGTGTTTAGGTATCAATTAGGAAAAAAAAATACTCCCTTGGATAGTCAAGGTTTGGGTACTAATTAAGAAAAAAAAATACTCTATCAAGAAGAATTTTTTACTAAAAATATTCCTAAAGAGAATTTTTCACAACTAAGTAATTTTTTTTTTTACAATTCATCCTAAATATAATAATAAAAAGAAAAATAAATTGCAAACCAATTCTCTCTCCCTCGCTCTCTTACCTGATTTGATAGTCTCACGTCATGCTATATGCGACGCAGAGTCGGGTGGAGTCTTATATTATATTTTAATATAATTAAACTGTAATTTAATATTGGCTTAAAGATCGATGGTAATTCTTTTATTTTTGTAGTAACTTACCCAAGTAATAATCCTTGAGCCCAATTGTTTATATTTTTGCACAATTTTTTTTTTTATTTTTTTATTTTGGAAAAGTACAATGACACTACCTAAGATTTGACATAAGGATAAACAGATACAAGTTTGTCTATTTTTTGACAATAATACCATTCAAGTTTGATAAAATAATAAAGACACCTTAACAAAGGTGAATTGACTTTATAACCCTTTGATATAAAATTAACAAATATAATTGAGTTAAATACCCTTAAATCAAATAAGTTTAAATGAGTTAACGAGTATAACCCATCTAAAAAATCTAATTTTTCTCTCAACCCACCGTATACCCACACCAGCCCCAAAGATCCGGCACTTCCATCACCCATACCTATATATTTATGTACATGTGCATAAATATATATGTGTGTGTGTAATGAGTGTAAATGGCTAAAATCATTATTTAAGAGTTTTGATATTTTATAATTTAAATTAATAAAATGTTAAAGGGTAATATTAATTTTTTTTAATTTTGAAGGATTATTTGAATTTTGACAAAAGAGTCTCGTTATTCAAAAAAGAGACCACCTTGGCATCCCTTGGGCCAAATCTCAGGAGTGTCCTCGATATGAAGTGTAAGCATCTTTCCCTATATACACACGCACTGACAAGCATGGACTCTTCCGGAGGATCCTCGCTACCTGACGTCACCGATGACGTACTGTCCCCATTTGTGAATGAAGGCTTGAAACAATGGAAAATTGCATATTTGCCAAATTTTGGAGCCACTATTTTTAAACTAGCAACTATTTAAAAATGCCATACCTTTGGGTCCTAATACCTGCTCCTCCTAACTCCCATTCCACGGGATTTACACAGTTATTCGGCTACACAAAATTATCAAAATGCCCTTAAGCAACTCGGATGACAAATGTCATAGCCAAAAATGCCTTCCATGTGAATTTATTTAATTACCCCATGGCTTTAAAAAAACAATTAAAAAAAGAAAAAAGAGAAATAAATTGTCCTCTCTCCTACCCAGATTTGATAGTTGCACGATATATATGCCACACAAAGTTGGCTGGAACTCTAGGGGATTTAATTAAACACTCCTTCAAGACCTGGTCAATAGAAAGACCCTAATTTTTTAATTTTTTTAATTATTTTTTAATATTATTAAACTCTAGGGGCCAAAAAAGCAATGATAATTTTTTTTTTTTTTTTTGGTAAGTTACACTAGTAATAATCTTTCGGCCCCAAATATTTATATCATTAAATAATCTTTTTTTTTCATCAGTCTTTTTCAAGAAATTACTAGATGATCATGATCCATTTGACATTAGTGGATTAATCTAATAAAAGCTAATGTTGAGATTTATTTGTACTATGTTAATATATACTCTTGCAGAACCATTTTTTCAATTCGAAAGTTTGGATTTAACTGGTCCACCAAGTGTTAATGATCTAGACCATCTAATAATTTCTTTTTTTTCTCTTTCATCCTCATTGACAACATGTACACCAACCGTATTTTTTTTTTCTTCTTATGAGATAATGTACACCAACAGTAGCATCTATATATTATTCTAAAGTGTAATCCCCTTTCTCTGTTTCTAAACATTTTTTATTCTTTTTTTCATATAAAGTCTCATTAAATCACATAATGATTTTCTCTATTTATCAATATTTTTTTCCTTATTAATAATAATTCATACCTCATAAAACACATAATGATTCATACATTTCATTTTCTCTAATTCTTAATGTTTTTTATTCCATTTTTCATCCCACTTTGTAAAAAGTTGTCCATGTTGGGATTATGTGCCCTAATAGCCAATTATTATTTTTTAGTATCTTTTGATTCAGAAGTTTTAATAAATAAAAAGAAGAGGTTTATTTATTCTAGTACATTGACGGATAGTCTTTATTTAATTACTCGTACACCTCACTCCTTGTATGATACTGAAATAATTGATGTGTTGAATGTCTTACCATTAAAAGGAAATATTCCTTAAAATAATTCTACATATTTTTGGCATATGTGGCTATGTCATATTAATCTAAATAGGATCTAAAGACTGTTTAAGAATGGGCCTTTGGGCTCTTTAGTGGTTAAACCACTTACAGTTTGTGAATCCTGCTTAGAGGGTAAAATGACCAAAAGGCCTTTTAAGGCTAAGAGGCATAAAAGCTAAAGAGGTATTAAAGTTGGCGCATACGGATGTATGTGGTCCTATAAATGAGATCATATCCCAAACTTCTGCACTAGGCACACCATAACAAAATGGTGTTGCAGAAAGAAAAAATAAAACCTTACTGGACATGGTAAAATTAATAATCAGTTATTCAAGTCTACCAGTATTCTTTTGGGGCTTTATCTAAAGCAGTTTCAAACACTCCCAAGGAATTGTATATTAAGCGTAAGCCTAGTTTACAAAATTTATGTAAGTGGGAGTATCGTGCACGTGTGTAGAAGGGAAAACTTGTGGAAGGGACCGAGATTAAATGTTTGTCTATTTGTGGGTTACCCAAATGGTACAAAGGGTTAATTATTTTATGATCCTAAGGAGAAAAAAGTTTTCTTTAGCACGAATGCTATTTTTCTCAAGGATTATATAATGAATCACCTTCCTCGAAGTAGGGTTGTTTTAAAGGAGATGATAGATATACCAATCAATCCAAGAGTGGATATGACAGTTGTAGATGATGAGACATTGGAAATTGTTATGGAAATATAATATTATGCACTAAAATATTATAAACGAATCACATTAAAATATTAAATAAATATAATTGAAAATTAAAGTAAGTTTTACAGAAATTAAATCAATGAGAATATGGTAGTTTTGTATGATATTAGTTGCATGTAAATATATATAAATAGACACACAATTTAAATATAATTGTTACATGTAAAAGACAATGAAATAAAACAAATAAAATATAAAAGTAAAGTTAAAGAAATGATGGCCTGATATAGAGAGGCACGTGATAAACACGTTGAACTAAAGTTGATAACCCTCCCCTACGTGCAGGTGCGGACGGTGCTAGGCAACTCTAAGATACAACCCAATCAACTCTCAGCGGCACTTTCTCTATGTGCACGACCACAGGAAGGCAAAAGGACCAAGTCTCCAATGTCGAGTTGCCCAAAATATTGAAATATGGGTAAAATATATGAAAGATATCGATAGGATAATCACAGGAAAAGTAATACGCAAATATGGTAGAGCAGATGGGTATACTTCTTTGAGTGTGCATCTCATTGCCATATACATAGGCCTCCTTAAAGAAGCCAAAACGGCTAACTCATTATTACCATTATGTAATACCCCCAGGGGCGGAGCCAATTAAGGCCCAAAGGGGGCACGTGCCCCCCCTCACATTACTCCAACCTACTATACATAGGTATATATTTTTGGTATATATATATACTTACATGGTAATTTTAAATAGTGCCCCCTTCAAA